CTGACCGCACGCGGCCCGGGAGCAGAAGGGCCGCCTCGATACGGCGCGCCGCCCTCACGCGACGAACAGCCCACCTGGCATGTTCGACCCGCAAACAGCAGGGGCGTTTGAGGCGCTGCGGGCAGTTCGTCACACCGAATGTCGGGTATATTCCTTTAGTTCACCGAAGAATCTGCGGCGCGTGCGGCTGTTGGGCGGGAAATCAACTGCACTTTTTCTCGGGCCTCCTGCACACGGCGCCATCCAAAAAAGTCCACTGCCGCCACGGAAGGCCAACAACGAGTCGAAGGGATTAAATGCTGGCTCGTGACTTCTCTCTTTGCGAGACACTGAACCCGTCAGCACCCCGGCAAGGCGGCTCACGGCTGCGCCAGGTGCGAGGATGCTTTATATATATATATATATATATATATACATAACGAGGCAAAGGAAGAAGAAGAAAATAGTAATAATTGGGCAGCGGCCGTCGGGGTCTTCGTGTCTGTCAACCCCGCTCCCGTTGCGAGGACGCGCGCGAGCACAGCGGAGATGCACGTACTTCACCCCGCGCCCCTTAAAGAAAACAACCTCAAAGTAAGCCTCCAATGGCGAAGCCGCGTCGATTTACAACCGCGTCATGTTGGCTGGCGTCCCCAGAAAAAGCGTTTTGAATACATCGTTGAAGAATTCAGGGTGATACTTGCAAGCGCGCTTGCAATCAGGACTGTAGTTGATTTCTAGCAGGGATGGCTCCAGAGTCCTCGCCTGAGGACAACCGCCCAAAGTTTCCCGCAGCATCACGTCCACGCCGTAAATCGCGCGGCAGCGACGACGATCGGTACCATGGACTTTCACTACGCCAAGCGCTTCGCGAAGCATTTTCCGAATCTTGGGGTACACGTCCCTGGCCCAGAGGGAGGTGCCATAGCCCTTCCTGGCGTACTCCGCGTTAAATTCCTCAATAAACTCAGTGTCGTGCAACTGAATTAGTTTTGCAGGGTTTTCGTAGTTCATCACAGTCCAGTGTTTTTCAAAACGATCAAAGTCGTTCAAGGCGTAATCCTCCAATGCAAAGCGCGTCCAAAAGACATTGTAGACGTAGGCTTCCATGGGTGTTTCCTCCGACGCAAAGGAACGCACGGCTACAATAAATCGCAGATCAAACTTCCGACAGCGCAGCGTAGCAGTGTTTGCAAGATACTTGCACACCACTTTGGGGCCGGTTTCAATGGTTTTGAGTAACGCATTGAGGTTGGAGGAAATCGTCATGTCGATGCTTCGGGCCAAATTTACCGGCTTCGTGATCCATATGTTTGTTCCATCACTACTGCGCAGGAAGGAAATGTCATCGGGGGTGACCACGCCGTCCGGGGCTGTGCCGCGCAGCTGCGCCTGTCGCACCATAAAGTCTCCAATAAATTCACGAAGCTGCGAGGTGGTGTCGTAGCTCACCTGGAACCAGTCCACGTACCCATAATGGCCCTGAATAAGCTGCAAAAGACCTCGCTTGCTTGTAAAGAGCCTCTCTTCGGGGAACTGAGAAACAAACTGCGCATCGCGAAACCTGTCGAGGTCGTCAATGTGGTCATGGGAAAGCCAAACCACCTGCGCCTCCTGCGGCAGGTCAACCAGAAAAAAATGTCTAGCATCGCCAAGATTCGCAGACACCAACTTGCTGTCGGTAAAGACACGCAGCGGCGGCTTCACGCCCAGCTCTTCACTCGGCACTGTTTCGTGTGGTGGTGGTGTGGGGGGGGATGCGGTGGGGCGGCGGCGTTCTCCGTCGGCGTCACTGCGGCCGGTGCCTCGAGTGGCATCCTCAGCCCCCACAGCGTCACCCTGGCCCGCCGTGGCCGCAGCAACGGCCTCAAGCCTCCCCACCCCTAGCCGCCAAGCCTCCAGACAGGCTCGCTGCGCATCCACGTACCTCTCTTGCCCCGCCAGCCCATACAGAAGTTCCACGACTTCTTTTCCCCCAAGGCTTTCCAGCAGCGTCTCGGCTCTCTGTGTGGCGATGGTGCCCTCCTCCATCTCCTCCACACACCACATCGCGGAGAACACACCACCCTTTTCTGGAAAGCAGAGAGGGATCGGCTCCAACTTCATGTTGCCAGGTTCATCCGTCACCACGGTGATGGCGCTTCCAACCTCATCGTGAATGAACCAATAGTTTTCATACAGAGCATCGCTATCATCAACGCTGCCGGGAAGCCGATAGGAGTTCACTTTTCTCCACATATTATCAAAGACACTTTGCGTGTCTTCCCTCGCGTTAGTGTGCGACAGGCTCAGCGAGAGAATGCGACCCAAACGCTCGCGAAGCGCAGCATTCGCTTCCAAGTTTTCCCGAAATTCACGGAGACGAAAGGTACAGCAGTGATCCACAAGCCAGATGTCTTCTTTGGCTCGCAAATCCCTCTTAGAAACGAGGACGTATTCGCTGCGGACTGTTTCTTCAGCTTCTTGCGGGGAAGTCGCCTCTTCTTCAGACCCCTCCGCGGCCACCGCAGCCAGGGAAAAGGCATCCCCCGCGTCAAAGGCGTCGTTGCGCAGCTTTTCGTACAGTCGCCGCTGCAGGTGCTCCGTCACACCGTGCGCCTCAAACCACGCGGACAAAAGTCCCGAGAACGCGTCAAATGCGTTCATTAATTTGTCGTGGAAAATCAAACCTCGCCTACTTTTCTTTTTTCTTTCGTTCTCTTTTCCTCCCTCTGGCCGTTGCCCTTCCAAGCCTCAAAACGGTTTGCTGCTCTTGTTGTTCCCACCCCACTCCTCACCCCACTATACTTCGTTTTAGTACTCTGCTAAGTCTCAAAATAAATACATACATAAAAAAAATCCCTTGATTCACCCACGTAACACGTGGAGTGGGGGGAGGAGGAGGAGAGAGGCCAAGCAGGAATCGGGCAAGAAACGGTTGAGGGCCCCAGTTTATGCAGTGCCACAGACGCCGACGCTCACCATGGTGCATGCACACCCACACCCACACCCACACACACCAGCACCTCTTGTGGAGTATCCTTTACACAGGGCGCTCGTTGTGCATCCAAGCGTTTTCGCGAATCCGAAGCTACACCAATTCAAACAAGTAAAAAAAAAACTCCAAAAAAGAAGAACCTCGTCTACAGCTCAAGACAGCCTCCTGTCGTTTTTTTTTCTTTTCTTATTCCTCCCAGCTTCATCCTGCGACCCTCGGTCCTTCTCTACAGCGCTCTTGTTGTCTGCCATGCACAACTACACTGACATGAGAAATGCCGCCACTCCGCCAAGCAGCAGCTTTTCCGCAAGGTCGGGGTCGCAACGGACAGAGAGATCCATAATAGGTGTGGTGCGCTCAGCGTTTGTGTAAAGGGGGACCTGGGCCACCATGCCGTCCGTCTGCCGCTTGCTCACCCATCCAGCCCGCAAGTCACACGCCAACGGCGTCGAGGACGGCGAGGTTGCGGATGCCAACGAAACCACACCCTGCGCATCCAGCAACGCCCCTTGAAGGTGAATGGACCTCCCCTTAAGTAAGACACCAATTCCCACCCCGTCCGCAACGCCGCCGAGGGGCGCGGCCACAAGCTTCAACTCAACGAGAGCGTCATTGCTCACACGCACAGTGTGGAGCCGCAAGGCATTGAGAAACGTTTGGGGCCGCAAAAAGTCCATCAAGTCAAACGACGTTGACGATGGGGAGAAGGGAAGTTTTGCATATTCCATCATCATGTCCCTCCGTCGACGCAGGAGGGCAAGCCACAGCTGCACATCTTTGGGGCCGTCCATAAGGTCCAACCATCTTGCTGGCACCCGGCCACCGATGAGCTCCGTCCCCTCCCCACGCAGCTCCAGGGACGGAATAAGTGTGCCTTCGACAACGCAGCGCAACTCGCCAAAGGTTGCCGCGAGAGCCGAGACGATGCCCAGCAGCAGGTCCACTTCGCTCATAAAGAAAACCGTCATCGGATTCTTCGTGTCGCCGCCGGCTGAAACAGCAGCCATACTTCCTTGGGTCTCCAGACCCGTATTCGTCCACAGCTCCAAAACAGGGGCAAGCAGCGTTCGCCAGGTCTCCGTCGCTGAGGCGTTGACCTGCGCTAGCTGTGAGAAGGAGCGCAAATTCTCTCGCAATGTCACAGCAACTTGCTCCTTCACGGCACGATCCGCGTTATCGGGAAGACTCAGTATAGATGTAGACTCTGCATCAGGAAGGTGCTCGCGTATGAATTGCACAACTGCCCTATGCACGTTTGTCGCGGGCACATGGATGTCATCGTACAGCGTCTGTTCGCAAAACACAAGGGTTTCATCGTTAAAGATTCTGAAGACAAGCCGCTCCAGTACACGCTCATCGTGTGAGTTTTCTAAACGTCCACCGTAAATGCATTCTTTTAGTAATCCACGTGCTGTTGTCCAGTCCACCTTATCACGCGACAAGGTGCAGAGCACATCCGCGGCAGACTTGAGGTCAGTGGAAGAAAACTCGTAGAATTTCACCCACCCTTGTGGAACGTAACCTCTCCGTTCCTGCAGAACGGCATGGAACCAGGCCAAGCCAAAGAGCACCTGGGAGGTCGTCTTTGTTTTGCCCTGTAGAAACGCCTCATCCCATGTCGTATAGGATTGCAAAAGGTTTTGCTTCACGCCTGGAGGTGCCTCTATCGTCACCTTCGACGACATACGTAACAAGACGACGGGGAATAAATCATGCGGTTCCGTTGTGATTATAAGGCGGAACCCCGGGTTGGGGCTCGGCATGGCGCACAATACCTTCTCAAGTATCAACGCCCAGTCCAGTACAAGGTGCAAATTTTTCAGAAAGAGCCAGTCCCCTTGTGCAGCACTCCGACGAAGGTGCAGCATAGCATCCTCGGTCTGGCCACCACCCAGCGCAATCTGCGTAAAGTGTTCCTTCCCCACAAGCCGTAGTGCAATGTCTTGAATCTCCAGACTTGGATCTGCTCCCCTGGAAGTGATGAGAATCAGGGGCGTGGTGGCCTTGCCGTGACTGAGGTTTTCTTCCAGTGAGGTGACGGGCACGAGCGTGTCAAGCTTTAAGAGTTTCACAACGGCATGATGCATGAAATCCGACAAGCGATCCGGCCGAAAGGTGCCAATAATAAGAAGTTGATCCATTAGTGTGAGGCTTACATCCTTCGCAAGACTCTCCTCTGGTGAGATTTCCAGCATCCATTTGCTCCACCGTCCGCTGTCGCCCAGCTGCCACTTTTGCATTTCCCCCGCGGCCTGCTCATCCGCGGCGATCGTGGAAAACTTCGTCCGCGATGTCGCTGGAGCCCATGCCGGGAATTCCAGATCCCCGCCATTAGTGCCGGTTGCATTCGTGGACGTCGCACCAGCCGTGGCGGTGGCAACCCCAATAAACACATTCCACAGCGGCGAAGGAAATTCATCTGGGAAGAAGCCCTGCAGCAGATGCATCCCAAATACAAGACGGTCACTTTTTAAAAGACCCACGCTGACGTGAAAGAAACACTTCTGCGCAAAGCTGAGGGTAAGAGATTTTACTTTGAGCTCCACATCCGAGTCTCCGCAGTACGCGTGAAGGCAATCAACGAATAAGTCGATAAAGTCGCTGAGTCCAAAGTGATACATGCGATTCATTTTCTCCAGATCCTTCACAAGGAAGAAAATGGTGGCTCCCTTGCCGGCAAACGGACGATATACATTGCGCTTCTCGTCCAACTCAACTTGGAGAGAGTGGGACTGTTGTAGTGCCTCCGTAATACTAGAGGCCTGCATCTTCACATCATTGAGAGCCCCAACCAGAGCCACATTCTCCAACAGATTTCCATGCGAACTGGCAAGGTCATTTAGTAGTCGGTCCTCAAGCTTACCAAGTTCCAGTTTGAGCTTTTCTTCCCGTTGCAGCAACTCCACACGTTGCTGTTCAAGTTCGGGCCTCTCATGTTGAATTGTCACCCCCAGAAGCTGATTCTCGAGACCGAATCTTGTGACTGAGAAGTTTACTTCCAACACCAACGCCGCGGCCCCTGGGGGGAGGGCAAGGTCAGTGCGCCGTGTAAAGAGCATAATACGGAATGTGTCCTGCCAATCAACTTGTTTGCTACCCACCTGTACAACGCGTTTGGCTCCTGTTGAGAGAAGTTCTCGTCGCAGCAGTGGATACAAAATAGGCTCAATTCCATCGACGTCCACCACGAGAAGGGTTTTTCCGAACCGCACTGCAAGCTCCAGTGTGTGGGCAAAGCGTTCATCATGCACGGACGTGATCTCCGTCACGACGCTGTTGTTCTGTAGATGTGTCCTCATCCACTCAATCGCCTGATTCGCCGGGTCAATGACGAGTGGCGTTTGCACCGCATCCAGCATGGCGATGGCATTCTCCTGGCTCAGATCATCTCGTGGTAGACCTTCGCTCTTCCACTGCAGCAAATCGCTCTCACTCCGCATGAAGCCAGTTACTGTCACCACCGATGGGAAGTTTAAACGGTCGGACCACTTTTTAAAATACCGTTGACGCACATCTTCGGTTTCCTTTGCGATATACGTCATGAATGCGGCCGAGAGAAGGGCCCGCTTGGGCAGCAGACGATTGTTTGTTTCAATTTTCTCTATATCCTGCGCCCAACGTGTCTTCTCACCGCTAAGCTTCTCAAGCAGGTCACACGCCTTCGAAAGTTCCTTCTCAGCCTTTGCAAGTATATCCTTCAGTCGCTCAGCCTCCTTACACTTCTTTGAGAACTCCTGTCGTAGATCCTCAACAGCCGCATCAATGTGCTTCAGTTTCTTCTTGAGTGCGTGCAACTGCTGCTCGCCCACGGTCTGGTTCTTCTCGAGCTGCTGCAGTTGCAGGTTCAGCGGAGAGATGCTGTCAAGAATGGTGGAGTAGTCGACGGTGGCTTTCACCCAGGCAGCCATTGGCGCCGCCGCAACCGACGCGCGGTAAATCACCTCCGGTCGGAAGGAGGTCGCCTTTTGATGCAGCAGCCGACCCACATTCTCACGTATGGCCGAGGTCACTTTTCCGGTGTCAAAGTCAAGAATACGCTCCTTCGCCCCACGCTCCCCGAGGAATTTTCGCATCGACTGCCATGACACGTCTGTGACGCCGAGAAGGGCGAGGACGCCCTCAAGCACATCCCGCACCGGCTCCGGTGGGGCCTTGAGGGAACGAATTTCATTGAGTTGCTCGCTGCGGATCGAGCTCACCGCCTCACGTGCCGCCTCGAGTGAGGGTTTGATTCCACTCAGTTCATCCTCTACCTTCTGCCGCTTCACCACTATCTCCTCATGCTCCTCCTTAAGTCGCTCTTGTAACTCCTGCGCGTTGTCTCTCTGCTCCTTGGATTCCTCCATCTTCTTCTGGATCTCTGTCAGGGCGTTGTCGGCCTCGCGCTGCATCGCCTCCACCTCTTCCTTTTTGCGGGTAACGCCGCGTCGAATCCCCTCCACATTCGCTTCCGCGTCATGCAACTTTGCAAGACCCGTCTCCAGACGCTTAAGATCCGCCCCACTGTTCTGGCTCTTATTTAGCAAAATTTTTTTATACGTCTCCATAAACACCTGAAATCGCCCTGGCGTGGCCTCGTGTCCAAATGTTTCATGCACGGCGAAAAGCTCCTGTGGCAGGTGAAACCCCTTATTGGCTGGTTCTGCTTCAATGAGCTTAATTATGCCCTTCAGCCGTTTCTTGCAGATTGTCCGCGTCGCATCGTTGCTCCAAGTCCCCATCCAGAGCAAATCACAATTGCTGAGCAGCCCTGGGTTGGACTGCAGACGCACGAGGAATAGAGGGTAATGGCTGTCCATGACCAGTGCGAGACGTAGATTGCGGCGTAGACGCATCAAAAAGTACGAGTAAATAGTCCCAATATACCCATCGCTGGACGCGTCCTCCCGCAGCGAGGTAAACATCGTCTCCAGTTCCTCTGGCGTGAATAGGCCAGGGATATCGCCACTGCTCACAAGACTATTGATCATTTCAAGAAAACTCTCATCCACAATGTTATGCTCATCCAGCAAAAGCACCAGACGCTCATTTTGTGTTGTGGCCCGTTGCACAAACTGCCGTATGTCATTGCGGAAGTTCTTCACACTGTATCCTTGTATCATGTTCAGTGTCACCACCTGCATGCACAGCATATACGACGCAAGGTGCACCGCGCCGCGGCGGCCAACACCAGGTCGACCAACGAGAATGAGGTGACCGACAGGACGTGCCAAGACACGATCAATGCGTGTGATCCACGCAAGTGCCTCGGGAATGACATGCACATTGAGCTCCCTGAATTCTCGACCGTACTTCGCCAAGGCCTGTCCCACCTCGGCCGCAATCATCTCATACGGAACCCCTCTAAGCGGCTTTACCCCACGTTCATCCACCTCACTGAACCATGAGACGAACATAATAGGATTCCTTTCCTCCTTCGGCGGCATCGAGTAGCCGATGGTTGCGAGCACATCAGAAATAATTTTTTCTGCACGTCGTCGATCGTCCGTCCGGGAAAGGCAGTCAGCGAAAATGCACATGCACTCATGAGCCAAGGCCGCAGGCAGAGTTGTCGTTTGAGCATCAATCGCATACATCATGAGATTGGTGACGCAGTTAGTTATGCTGCGCGGCGAAAACAGGCAGTAGGCGTATTCCTCCCCCTCAAAGCGACGTCGAATTCTTTCAAACACGTTAATCACAAACTGTGCCAAACTACTGCCATCGTTGCACCCCGCTCCACCGTCAATAGCCGTGCGTTTCAAGAGCAACGAGAAGTAGGCCGTATAAATTTGTATGAGACCGGCGCGTGAGGGGTAGGACATGGACACAATACATACACTCGCCAGAAGACGCGGTGACACCTCATAGCGTCCTGCCGAGGTAGTAGGGTTCATGCTGGCGACAAACTGAATCTTTTCGACACCGATCCACTCCAACTCACTGTTGTAGAAACCATGATACATAATTAATTGCAATAAAAATGCATGAAGTTCTACGGTGCCATACTTATCTGGCTTGGGCAGGTTCACATTCTTCATAATCACTACAAGTCGCTCACCCTCCTTTGGTCGGTAGACATGGCCTGTATTGGTGCTGGAAAGGGTGCAGAGCTGTTCTAGCTTCTGTATAAGATGCACTGACGTCGTTAGTGCGCTACAGTGAAGTACGGTTGTCTTTATACCAGGGTAGCGTAGAAAGCACCGTTGTAGGATGATGCTCTTTCCGCAACCCTCACTTCCGACAAGAAAGAATGGACGACAGTGGGAGTCATCCACAAGCGGCTCAAGTGTTGCCAAGAGACGCTGCACATCCGTGGTGTTAATCACAGCCTCCGTGCTGAGAAGCGCCTCAGGGGCGACATCGACGCGCAGATCAGCGGAGAACTCGGCAAGACGCTTCCTCTCACGATCATAGAACGTGTCAAAAGGGCGTTTGCTAGAAATGGGGCTTAGTTGGCTGAGCTCGTACAGCGTGGCGGAAATCTGCTGAGAGCCCTGTGGATGCAGCATTCCACACAAACCCCGTATGAGTGTGAGAACAAAGTCCTCCTCGTTAATGGCATGCAGCACGTGTGCAAGACAGCAGTTGATCATGCCTAGAGGCGTGGTTGGCAAAATAAGAGCGCCCAACTCCAAGGCCTTCTCCACGGCCGGAATAACGTACTTCTTGATGAGGGGACCCAAAGTTTCCCTGCATTCAGGTGTTTGTTTCTCCAGAAAAGACTCCACTGCGCACTCAAGACTGATGTCCTTCGCAGAAAACAAAATCACACCCATGCGAGAGACGGTGGCAGGCGACGCATACGCCAAACTGTGCGTTTCAAAAATAAAGTTCACGTTATTGCCAAATTGAATTCGAACGCCGTTGGGAAGGGTAAGCAGCTTGTTGTCGTCCAGCACAGAGTTCAATGACTCCACCCACTCTGGGTCAATGTCGCCGTCGCACAGGATCCAAGGGCGATGCTCTTTAGGGCACTTCACCACCTCACGTGCCGCAGCGGAGAGCACGCCATCGTACCATTCTCGTGTGTCGGGGTCCATGTGTCCGAGAAGCCGGTGACGTGGAACCGCCTTCGGATTCATAACATAAAGCGGTACCTCAAAGTGAAGAAGTTGTAACGCTTTGCGGAGGATACGCAGCAAGGTGCTCTTGCCACTGCCACTTGGCCCAACTAAGACCACACCCATGCGCTGCTTCAAAGCTTCGTGCAACTGCAGCACCTTACTTACCTGTGCCGGGATGAGTTGCAGTCTCAACCTCTGCACGGCCTCTTCAATGGCTGACTGCAGTTCCCCATATGTGATTTCACGAGACGCGACTCCAGGAAACATGTCTGCTGTTATTCCTCTAAACAGATTTGCATCATCCTCGGTAAGCTTGCTCAACGTATTGGTATTTAAAGACTGTAAGATGAGTTCAGTCTCCTCCTCTTCACTGGAATCTTTCCCTTGATTTTCCCTCTTCCATGTATGCATTAGAGATCCCGCCAGACACAGCACCGCCTTCAGTGAGCGCAACCCCCAGTCATAGTGTTGCTGCTTTGTCATCAGTTGCCCACAAAGGCGGTAAAGTTCCACAATCTTCTTGGAAAGCAATTTGGCGTGTGTAAAGCCCTCGGAAAACAACATTGTGGAGGTAATCAACTCATTGTCTGGCGCACTCATGGCCACCTCACGGAAGAGCTGTTTCAAGTTGTCCGGCAGTTTTGTCCGCCCACCGTACCCCTTCCCTTTGGGGTTAAGCGTCACAAAGATACCGGCGTTCTCATTCACTTGAATAGAGCGGTGAAGCAGCGTACACGTGGGCTCACGATTCTTTAGCGCCTCTTGAATCACTTGAATCATTTGCGAAAGCGCAGATAGTTGATCTATTTTTAGGCGATTAAATTCATCAAAGCAACCCCATGCGCCACAGGTTACGATGCCAATGAAAATCCGACCCATCGCCTTGAAATCAATACCCTCATCGCAGTTAAACACAAGGACCTGTCGACCCAGCGCAGACCCTAGCGCCTTGACCGATTCCGTCTTACCCGTGCCGGCAGGTCCGTACGGGTTACCACCATAGCCAAGTCCCATGCCTTTTGTAAGCACCAGATAACACTTGTCGGTCAAGGGAGTGTGCACCAGTTTTGGTGCGTTGCCTTGGTATTCGTAGGTGTACAAAAACTTGGTATCCATCATGGAGACGACGCAGCGGGAACCGTCAGCCATGTAGTAGCGTAACTGCTTTTGCCACCACCATGAATCCAGTGAACGGACACCCTTTGCATGTAGTAAATCCACAATTTCAATGCTATGGATCACATCAAGGATGAGGGACTTGACCTTAAGCGTAAGCACCTGGTTCTCTCCCCTGGTGACTTCCGTCAGACGCGTGAGTTTGCTTCGCAAGGCCTTAGCGAGCATAGCAAGTGTCCCCGACTCAATTGCCTCCTGCACTGCCGTCGTAAACTGCACCTGCTGCGCCACCTGAAGGAGCTGCGATGGAAACACATCCATCACGGCTGGCGCTGCCACATCTTCGACCCTTACACACTCTATCAAAAGACCACGCAATGTTTCCCGCATTTGGGCATCCAAACGAGAAAGCCACTTTTCCACATCATCGTCGTCAGCTATAGATATTTGCTCCGCAAGCTGTACTTCCTCCTTGTCCGCAGATACCATATGCGTAATCGCCTTCTCGTCCTCACTAAACACAACGAAGTGGATGCCCATAAAGAGCTTCTTTAGGTGTGCTTGAATCACGGAGGGGTTTTTGCTGTGCCCAAGAATCTCCAGCATGTCTTCATCGCTAATAAAGTAGAAGCGTGGAAAGCTCTCACGCTTCGCCTCCAAGAACTCTATCAAAGACTTTTGACAGCGTTCAACTTGCTCCAAAATGCTCCTTAGGCGATCCACAATGTCGGTCTGAGAGCCAATACTCATCACACGTGGATCCGCCTCAACCTCTCTCATAATGGCGACAAATTCCTTATCCACCCGCCTGAACCGGGGTTGCTCCTGCGGCAGGGCACCACGGGCAAAGACAGGCTCGAGATACGTCCACTTTCGTTGAATGGTGTTCATCAGAGCCAGCGCCTCGGCGAGGGTCGCAAGTTTAACTTCCCAGCCAGAAACTTCATCGGCAAAGTGCGGAAAAAAAGGGCTGTCCTTGAGCGAATTGATGAGAGCCTGGTTGTCGCTCACCTGCGTCAACGTCTCCTTCCACTCCGTGATGAGCTTCACCTTTTCAGGTATCGAGGAGTCCGTGGGGGTCATAAGTGCAAAAACCGCCTCCAGCGCCCAGGCCCGCAAATCTTGCAAGGCATCACGTATTTGGACCTCGCCTTGGGCCCTTGCGTGCAGTTGCTTCAGCTCGGCTTCCTTGGCGATGATCTGCTTGTAGTGGTCAAGGATGTCGCCAAAGGTGAGGTCCGCGCTCTTCATACCCTTTTCAATCCCCAGCAAACGAAACATCTCATTCCAGTGCTCCGTCATCATGCCCTCACCACGTACAAAGCGCAGGAGGGGAAGAAGCGTGGACCACTCCTGAAGTAGGGCGCCCAGGTAGTCGACGATGACTCCGCTCACACTGCCGTCGGTCTTGGCGATCTCGCCCGCCGCGAGCTTGCCTTGCCACCCCTTAATGAAGTCCTCAAATGCGTATATGTGGGAACGAAACGTCAGCCAGTCTTCCTTGCGCAGTACAAGTAGGTCTTCCCTAAAGTTTTCGTAGAGCTTCCACATGGCGGCTGTTTCTGTCACATCCTCCACAGTAAGATTAAACTGGTAAAAGTTGGGAGGTGGAAGTTTGAAGTACTCACACTTGGACTCAAGATCACTTCCTTGCGCCTTCAACTCCCCCAGCTCCTGAGACTCATCCTTCAAGGTGGACAATGTCTTGTTGATGAGCTCCATCTTGTTCTCCTTAAAGGCAACGATCAACTGCTGCTTCTGCTTTTCCCACTTGTTTGTAAAGCGTTGTCCATCTTTGAGGTGCTTTTGTATCATACTATCCAGTGAGACCCGCATCTTTGACACGGAAGCGTCAATGATTTTGTGGTGGGATGCCATTGCCTCCGACAAATGCTCCCAACGCGACTTTGTGGCGCTGAGGTCGATTGCCGTGCCAGACTGCTGGCGCAGCACGCGGTTCAACTCCTCCACCTCCGTGAACTTCGCCTGGTACGACGGCATGGTTTCGACAAACTCGTAGTACGCCTTATTTGCTTGTCCCACCTCATCCATCGTCGTGGGCTGTCGCGTGATAATGTTGGAGGCATTAAACACAAAGTCATCAACGTCTACCAGCGACTTATTTATCTTCTTACGCATCGCATTCAGCAACGACTCCTCAAGACGGTGGAGCTGTTCCTCCATGCTAGCCTTCGCAGGAATTGTGCTGACCGTAAAGCAGTCCACCTTCATGGTGTTTTCGATATACTGAAGCTTTTGTGCTTGTTCCTTAATAATCCTGAAGCCATCCACAAACTGCGGAAGAGTTTTGCAGACCTCCTCCACCACCGTGTCAATGTCTGGGGCACCGTTGACGCCACATGCGCCGATCACCATATGCGCCTGGAATGCCTTCCGCAAGCGGGTAAGCTTTGAAAACAGTTCCAACGCTTTGAGATGAACAGTGACAAGGCGGTCCTTATTTACGAGTGGCATAATTTCATACATCTCATACGGTCCACCAGATTCCCGCTTTTCCTGTAATCCGCGAAATCGCAGCGGCACACTCACGAACTCACGCAGTTTAACGTAATACGCCTCTCGCATCGCCTCAAAGGTTGGTTTAAAATGCACTTGCCCCTGCTTGAAGACAAGTTCCACCTTCAATTCGTCCATCTTTTCATGCAAAGTCTCTAAGCCGCGTTGGTACTGGTGCTCCAGCGCCTTGTAAATCTGGGCGTCAAGGTGCCGTCGCCAGGCGTTGTGGCTCCCAAAGTGGTGGGTGTGAAGGAATTCCACGAAGGAGGTTCGCATGCCATCCACGGCGCTTCGCCACTGGTCCATGTGCCGTGCAAGGTCCACGTTATGGAGCGCAATCACTTGACTAATAAAATCGCAGTGAAAGCGGCGAATGCCCCGATTGTCGTTACTGAGCGCCTCCACAGCGTTTTGAAACCGCATGTTAATTCCCTCCAGCTCATGATAATTGGCAAGCGGAATGACGCGACTCTCCGTGCCTCCGTAAAAAACTTGTGTCCGTACATGCGTCGACGCAGCATCCAATATAGGGCGGGTGCAACGCAGCATTTGCCGCTGCACTGTATTGTAGTTACCCACTATTTGCATCGCCCGTGTCGCGGCACTCATGAGTCGCTCGCACAAATTAATTGTGCGCATCACCTCCTCACTGAGTAATGACCCCATGTCGCATGGGGCACCGTTGTGGCTGTTGGTGCGACGCTGAGTGGCATTACTGTTCCTGCTGCTGCTGCTGTTGTTGTCGCCCTTGCTGCTTCGCCGTCGTCCATCCGTGTTCTTCTCAGCACCCGCAGCCTTTGTGTTGGAGCCCTCCCCACCACCCAACCAGCTACGCATGTTATGAAATTCCTGCAGGAGTTGCTTAACCGACGCATGTAGCGTACAGACGATATAGTCCTTGCCAACCCCACTAATGACAAAGGCGTCTGGGAGATCCATGGCTTTCTTACACTGTACCTCCATCGTTTGCTTCCATGAGGCTAGCACCTCTTGCTCGGTTCCCTGCGTCTCCTGCATCAGGGCTCGTGCCGACTCCAGCACCTTCTCAAGGTGTTCCGAGGGCCCAAATAATTTCGCCGCAGTCTCCGGCACCTCCGCGCACTCCGCCTGACAGCTCTGCAGTAAACGTAACGTTTGGAGATCTGTAGTGGCTCGAAGCTTTTTGTTCTCATAGCGTCCACGTACTTTTTCTACCTGCTGAATCAACAAATCTCTCACCTCCTCCAGTTCCTTCGCAATACCACTGCGAATGCCTTCTCTCCGAAGCAGTGTGTGATGCTGCTGCAGCAAACGCATTGGGATAGCGGACGCTTGCTGCTGGCTGGCGAACAGTTGCCTCACACGCCCCCGCAGGTTGTCTTCCAGGAAGGAGAATTCCTTTTCAAACTTTTCCCTGCACTCTGCCCACCGCTCATCGGATGTTCGCCTGCTGTCCGTGAGGCTCTCCTCCTCGAAAATAACCTCCGGCGCAGTGGTGCTTTCCACCTTCCCCTGGAGAAGTTTAGACGCGCTGGCTAGCAGCTGTCGGATTTGGACAACGTCGCGAAGGCGCACAGAGAAGTTTTCAAGTGTCTCATCGTGGAATCTGCCTCCGTCCCAACCCGCCCACTCCTCCTTGAGAAGCGTCTGTGTTGTCTTTTTCCATTGCTTAATCAGCGCCAGCGCCTTCTCGAGGTGCTCGAGGTTCATGCGCCAAGGTCCGCGCCAGTCGGAGCTCTCGAGCAGAATTTGCCCCTTGATGTACTCCCGAAGCTCCCCCGACACAATATATAGCAGGGAGGTGGCGTTCACCTTTGTACGCTCGTTCCGCGGGTTGTGGTTCCAATAAAAACAGAGGGAGTCATGCACCAGATGCAGCACCTCTGGCGCCTCAAGCAACGTAAACGACTTCATGCGCCACTGAGACGGGAGCTCACTCTCAATCGGTGCGGTGGAATAGGAAGAGATGGCGTCCGCCAACACCCGCAGATCCATCCACACCTTCATTAAGGGACCTTGTGGCAGTCGCGTTGTGACCGACATGGAGGCTGAAATTATAGAATCATTCATGACCGCCTCCATCGAATCTGGCACCAGTTTCTTTTCAGATTTGGAGTAAACTTGTATACAAACCGACTTTGCAAGGAGAATGTCCCAGCGTGTGCCAGTAGGGCACATCAGCTTGGGAAACCGCGTCACAAGCCGTGCCCCCTTCTCTACATCCCCAACCACGTCCGCGTAGAGCATTTCAAGCATCTCACACACCTGCGGCTGGCTTGGCAGGGACTCCAACGCCCCTGGCAAGGCGTCTACTTCGACGACGTCGGCCATGAACTTGCTGAACGACACAGCGTGCTCCTTCAGCGAGGTGACATCCGTCTCATCATCCTCACCGGCAAAGCGGAGACTCGTCCGGCCAGTCACTTCACGCACAAGAGCCGTGAAGAGCCTCTGCACCTCACCCCCCAGCCGATCCTCCTCATCCTCAGCGAGCGGGGAAAACTCAAACACGACACAATCGTCGACACGGGAAACATGTGCTGCGCCAAAAATTACCTGAAGATGGCGTTGCGCCACGCTAAAGAGCTGCGACTCCACCGCCACAAGTCCCGCGCGCCACATCACGCAACACTGTGGGCAATGGTTGTTAGCTTCGTCTGTGCGTGTGGGATTTTTGGCCCGCACCAACGGATTGAAACAGTCTTCGCTTCTGCCGTCCGACTGTGTTTTTGATGTATGTATGTATGTTTGTGTGTGTGTGTGAGAGAGAGAGAGAGAGTGCGAGAAAGAGGGTATTCTCTTTTTTCTTCCTTTTTTTGCTTCCCTATAGACTTACCCGCTGTCTTTGTCCCTCCCTCGTTTTTTTTTATATCCTTTTCGGTTGTTCTTGGATTCCCTCAGTTTGTTCCCTTCTCTCCTTTTGGGTTCGCCGGCGCAGCTTTGTTGGCTGTGCCGCGCAACGAAAAAAAAACCCCTGCTTCTCTCACCCACGCTCACGCAGGTCACACCTTCTTCGTGTGTGCGTGTGTGTGCAGGCGGGTCGCCGCTCCCTGATGTATCTTATTCTCCTCCCTAAGAGTGCACTGGCGGAAGATTAAAGAAGGAATGAAACAAAACAAGTAGCCAATCGGGCATGAATGAACCGTCCGCATACACCACACACGTGAAGACACGCACGTTCGTTTACATGCAACACGTGCATTTTTTTTTCCTTTTATTATTTGATTGTCTTTCGTTTGAGAAGAGAAAACGGCGACAGATGGAAATATGACAAATGAGAAGAGGGATCCCCCCTTCCCCCTTCCCCCTCCTCCTCCCCCACCACCACTACGGCTTGCTTCATGCAACGCGTATCGCGCGGGCGATGGCGTGAGAGGCAGAACGCCAAGAGAAACCCGCATACATACACCGCGGCCAACAGAGAGGCACAGATGTATATATATATATATGTATATAAGGCAAAACAAGAAGTCATTCCCCACAAAGCGCCGGTTGCAGAGTGAAGAGAAGAAAAAAAAAACTAAAAAAAAACCGGGCGGGTTCGCCTGGATGAGGCCTCATCAATCTTTCCCGAAAAAAGTGAAAGGGCCGCATAATGGAGAATGTCAGTCTGGCCCATTGCACCCAACGCACGCACACCCCCACCCCTCCTCGGAGTGGATTTATCCCACGCACTCACACAGCACCAAAGAAATAAATAAAAAAAACATGCATGATAGCTGGGCTCCCACTGTGAACTCACAAATCGACAGTCGTTAGGGCCGCGCTAGCACCAAGCACCTCCCTTCCCGTGGAGAGCGTTAGCAGTAGCAGTGAAAGGAGGGGGGAGGGTTGATGTGGGATTCCAGAAACCAACAACAGCACTCCCGCCGCTTTCCACCGCGCCGCCGTGGGGAGCACATGCAAGTAGTACATGCAACAACAGATAAATTCAACGAGCCGCGCGATCATCTACGTAGCCGCAAACGGTCAAACACGGTTTCCAGCGAACTCTAGAAGAACGGCGCACAGATATATACAAAGGACAACACCTGGAGGAGGGAGCCAATAAGTACGTTTTGCCCCTTGAAGCGCCTTAAAGCTTATCTTATCAGTTCAGTTTTTCTAGCCAGCTTGCCTCCACTTTTCTTCGTGATATTGCGTGTACACATTGATTTTTTTTCTTTTTCTTTCTTGTGCGCGTGTGTGGGGAGGGGATGTTAACTCTAGAGGGGATTTTCTGTGCCTTGATGCAAGAGACTGATGAGCCCCTTCTCTTGTCCCGCGCGCCGCAGCCACTCCATGAACATTGTGTGCACTCTCCCGCGCAGCTTCTCTGCTAGGTCCTTTCGCCCCTCCGCCTCCAGTCGCTGGTACGCCTCCTGCAGCTGCGCCGATGTGTCTTGAAACCGACGCACTCGTCGTTCCAGTGCCTCCGCGTAGAGGCGAGGCAACGGACAGGGGTTTGTGCGGGTGGTGATCACGGCACTTGTGTGGGGGGCAACGGGGAAGCATATTGGCGTGAATTCATCCGGAGGAAGCATATGCCGTGGCGTCGGAAGACCAACATTCCAGAGATTGAGCTTCGGATTCACGCCTGAGCTTGCTAGGTGCTCCTCCAATGTGGAGTAGTGCGAGTTGTATGGCGCAAAGCGAACATTCGTTAGCGTACTCACCCCGTCATACAAAGAAAGAACGGGTGGGGTATTCGTGCAAACAAAAATGGTCACATTCCTGCAATGACTCACCACTACGGCGGCGCAGAGGGCTGATATGTTGCAGTTCTCGCAGCGATCTATACAAAGTATACCACCCACTGGGCCAATGGCGACGGTACAGTTAACAAGCTGTGAAAGACGGGTGTGTGGCAAATCCGACGTAATGTAGATGCTGGATTGGAAACATTTTTGTATTGTGTAGGTTGAGGAAACCATTAGCTTTGCGCCGTTCGTCGACATCACTGGGTATGGTGGGATGTAGATGGTGCCCCGCAGCCCCCGCACAAAAAAGTTATTGCAAAACGGTGAAGCCGTCGTCGTAGTGGTAAGTTCGCTGGGAAGCGTAATTCTAGGACGTATAAACTGCGACAAAATTGTGACGTCAATTGTCCTCTCAGAGCGTGGCCACAAAAAACCGATGCTCGTCCCAAACGGCTGCTCAACTCCATTGACAAACTCACGCAGAAGAATTTTTAACTCTTGCGCATCCGCTACTGTAAGACGCCCGGGGCGCGTCACGGCCACCGCCGTGATGTAGTCGTGCAGGTGCTGTCGCACGCTGCTCATGACGAGCTCTTGGCTAATGTCCCCAGGCATTGTTCGCGGTGGGTGCTCCAGCAGCAGCTGCGCGAAGAGGAAGATGGTGAGCGCAGGCAGACTCACCTGTCGAGAGGCAGAGGCGGAGGGCCAACGCACCTCATCCACAGATCCTCCCATTTTTTTAAGAAGCGCCCGATTGCCCTCCTGACGGTACTCGGCTACGGACTTGGCGTGCGCCGCACTCCCGTTCGCTTGCGCCGCCAACGGTGCCTGCACAAAACTACCCGTGAGCGCGTACACCACGTCAAAGATGGAGTACGCAACGGACTCTCGCAGACCAATAACATTAACAGCAATGTCTCGCCACAACGCAAGCGAGATGGCAGTGCTGTTTGGAGACTCTTGCCGTATCTTCATAATGGCGGATGTGGTGAGGCCGCTGGGGGCGTCAAGCAGCATCCCACAGTTCATGAACAGCACCGGGTTGACGCAAAACACCACTTGGTTCGTGCTAAGAAGCGAAGAGGCGGGGGATGCATCGACGTAGCGGCCGTCGCCCTCTCTGTAGTACGGGGTACCGGCGTACATGCCTGACGTGCCCTTTCCCTCACCGTCCGGTTTCACGGGCGTCCTTCCCACGCTACCTCCCGCGCACGCAGGCAAAACAACAACAACAACAACAAAGAAATTGTCGAGAAGACTTCCGACGCGCTGAACATTTCAGCGGGGTAGAAATCGCACACCCTGTCACAACAAAAACAAAAAAAAAGGATGGGACAGAAATGCCCTCAGTTTAGCAGTAATAACCAATCAAAGTAGCGAAGAAAGAAGCTCAAAACTGTTCTCTGCCGTTTTTCCTCCTTTGCCGTTCGACAACTTCCACGGCAAGGGGCAGAAGAATCAAAGTGAACTTTTTTTTATTTTTGAAGGCCCGGCCCGGCACACCACAAGTGCGCTTGGCCCGCCCAGCCCGAGGATATCGCGTGTGAAGGTTTTCGACCTTGACGACGCGCGACGTGGGAGCAGGTCGCGAAGCGCGGCTGCCGGCCCACTTGTCCCTGTGAAGAGTAAAACAAAATGGGTTGAGGAAGTAAATTAAAAAATAAAAGCAAAAATAAAAGATACAAAGTAACTCGTACCAAACGCATTTCCTTGCCTTCGCTATTCAGTCCTCGCTGGGAGAACAGTGGGACCCTGCGATGTTTCCTCCATGGGGCACAGGGAGTTCGTCGAGGCAAAGGGACTTCGGTCCGTCCCGCCGGTACCGCTGCTGCCCGTTTCGTCAATCATCGGCGCTCGTTGGTCCATGGAGGGACACCCGTTGCCAGTTGCAGGCTGCGGCTCCGTCGGCCGCATGAACTGTGCGGCAGACGGATCGCAGTAAAAGTACGCCGGTCCAAGTCCAGTGGAGGTGCTGTGATACGTGGAAACCACCGGCACATACGCTGTGGCGTCTGTGTACGTTGGCGAGGGTATCACGTTCACAGGGGCAGCCGAACCAGACCCAATCGCCACCTGCGGGTACTGCACGGGCGCGTTTACCATCCCCTGCTGCTGCTGCAGAGTTGGTTGGGCTCCAGCGTCCGGCTTAGGGCGGCGGTGGCGACAGTAGCAGCAACAACAACATACGCAGCCGAGTATGATTACAATTACAGGAACGAGCACAACTATAACAGCAAAAGCCCACGGGGGAAGCTTACCGCCCAACGCAGTAAGAACGCGGCCTGGCAGATTCTTTTCGGGGGGGTACCGAACAAACGGGTCAGTGGAATTACACCACAGAAAAACAGGAGCCAGAGCATCTTGCTGCATGCCAGTGATCCACCCGGCGTCGCACACGCATGTTTTGTTCGCCTCATACCACCTGCCATGCACACAGACGTCGGTTGACGGAAACGTAAATTTCATACCTTGACCGATGCTCGCAGGCGCCGAAGCACGGCCCAGCGCCCATGAGGACATGTGTCCCACCACCGACCTCACCAGTTCCATCTGCGAGGCCTCCCTCGCCAACGCAACTTCGCAGTAATCTTCTCACACCCGTCCACGCCTCCGGCACTTGGTCCACTCACGTGGCGTCACTTCAAGAGCAAAACATTGCACAAGAGAAGAGGCGCTCAGATACCCACAGCGGAGATAACACGAGGCGCAATACCACAACATCCAGCGAGCATCTCAGCTTTGATGAAGAAGCAAGAAAGAAAGAAATAGGTATCGATCATGAGTGACGGATACTATTTTTTTTTGACTTTGCTCCCCTATTTCATCGTCCACATATCAATTTCAACTGGTTTTTTCCCTTAGTTTTGCTTTTGATTATGGTGTATATATATATTTATTTATTTATGTCATATATATGTATCACTGCCGTTGCTGCCTTTTGAATTGCTTACGCTTCCACAGACACACACGGCATTGCCTTCGCCGACAGTCGGCTGCACCTAAGCCAAGGTGAAGAGAGCGACGGGCTGGACGCAACGCGTGCAAAATATGAAGCGGGAGGTCATCGCCTCCTTTTTGCCTGTGTACTATTACTGACGTTTTTTGTTATTCTTTTGATTCCCATCTGCCGTTTGCTATTATTGGCTCTATATTCGAAGCTTAAACCCCAGCTGCACCACCTGAATCTCCGTGTCCGAAAGCGTCGCCGCCTCCCCCTCAAGCACTCGCCACCAGTCGTACAGGTAGAGCTGCAGCGGTTGAAGCTTTGCGGCATCCTCTGGCCGCTCGTCCTCGGCGGACCCCGGCTTGTAAAAGATGTACTGGCAGTACCGGTCAATGAACTCAAAGCGGGGGTGGTACGTGGTGATGCGTTGGGTGTCGTTAAACTTGAAATAGCGTCGCGCCTTCCCCTCGGGTGTTCGCCGGAAGGAAATGTCCGGCACCATGCCCTGCTCAAGGTGACCCACACGCTCCAGCTTCCACTCCACGTTAAAATCAACCGCCTCGCCGGGGGCAACTGTAGTCTTCTCCGGCTCAGGCTCATCGTAGCCGCCACGCTCCGCCATGCGGTGCCATGGATGTTTTCGGTACAGCTCGAGTGCCGCGTCACGGAAGTATCCGGGCTTGGTCTGCGAAGCATAATATTGGTACCGCTCCGGGTTTCCAGGGTAAGAGACAACGTAGCCGAGAAACATGGAGGGCCCTGGGTTGCGCGTCACGAGGCGGCCGAGGAACTGAGATTGAAGTAGACCATCGCCCCAGTGCTCCGTGTTGCCAAAGTGGCCAACGTATGTCTGGATCGTGATGCCAAAGACGTCAAGCTTGGCGTGGATCAGGCACGAGAGCTCACCCTGAGGCGAGGGGGAGATGTAGCGTCGCACAGACAAAATGGGATACTTTGATATCATCGCACACCCGTACGTGTTGTCTAGCGCCGTAGGTCCATAACTGGTATACTTATATCCAAGCGAGTAGGACAAGAATTCCACCATGTCACGATTTCCATTCGGCAAGTGCATAGAGTCACTTTCTAGCAGTCCAATCACGCCAGCACCCGTCAAATCTGCCTGTTTCACCATTCGCTTGAGCGAGTCCGTATTTGTGTTATCCAGCGCAAAATGCACAGTCCATATCATGCCGGAGAAAAAAGTCATTTCCAAGGCGGCTTCCCAGACTGCCTGCCGCTGCTCCAAACTCAGATGGGGAAGTGAAACCCCGTATTTTTCCTTTGGAATCTTCCGCACCAATTTCGACGTATTGTCCGTCACCCCTGTGACCTCCTCTTTAAGGTGCTCCAGGTGGGCCTCATAGCGCTCCTCAAAGAAGTTGACCTCGTACTCGTCCAGGAGGGGGTCGGCGGCTGCATTCTTCTGGGTCCTCAGTTTGGCGATGGCCTCGTGCACCTGCACCACCTCACGGCTGAAGAGACGGGCCGTAAGCTTCCCGGGAGGGATACTGCGGTCATCGGGGCCCAGCGCGAAGAGACCGACAACAACGAAAAAAAATGCGAAGCATATAAAAAGAAATATTACAAGCGGCATACGCCGCTGCTTCCTCACTGAAAAAACATTCCTTCCCGTCACACTAATGGCGTTCTTCACGCGGTGCGACAAAAGCCACGCAAGCAGAAACACACCGCTCACCGCAGTAAGATGCACAGAGACGGAACGCTCACGCACAAGCCAAGCCATGGGAACAAATGGGTATGAAGTGCACAGGGCGAAAAGAATAATAAAAATAATGCTCGTCAACGCCCATACCAATTCAAACGAATTCCCGCGCATCGCAACATGGCTGTGAGACTCATGTAAATCGTCTGGTTTCTTTGCAGCGGCGGTCGAAAGACGGTGGACTCGCTGATGCGCAAAGACAAGCTCAGTGACGAACGGATACAGTGCGCCAAAGCAGAACGTCATGACGAGCCCACCACAGAAGGCAACGTATTTGTTACCCGAAAAATTCTCTTCTACGGCCCAAAAACGAATGTCCACGTTTTCTTTCAAACTCTTCATCGTTGTTGGGTAGTGTGCATGTGGAAGCTCGTAGGAGCGGTTTGTCTGGCGCGTCCCGAGGAGCATTGTAAGACATCCTCCCACAAGGCCAACACCCAAGCGAATCCATCGCAACCCATTGCGCTTGCCAGTTGAGAAAACCGGTATAATATTCGGTGAGTAGTACAAACCTAAAACATAACAAGCAACGACCAACAAGTTGGCAGGGTAGGGATCGATTGCCAGAAGTCGTGGAATATAACTGGCGCATGTGAAAAAAGTTAGCGAGACGATTGTGGTAAACCCAAACAGCAGACCCATAACTGCAGGAGAAAACGGCGTGTAGGCCAATGCCAGCGTCGTAACACCGTTAGACTCACGTGTAGAAGAAAAGTGCACATGTCGTTGCTGATCGATGTTGTTCACACATGCTTCTTCTGAGTCATTGAGGGTGGCGTCCTCCTCTGAAAACATGACATGTCGGTAGAGGATGGTCGTGCAGGCGATGCCAAGAACCACACCAAATAGGCCAGCGTAAATGGCATCTGTAAAGACAGGATCTTGTGAGAGATGCAGCACACGAACAAGCATGCTGACCACAAGACCCAGTGGGAAAGAATACACCATGCGGCAGTTGTCATCGCTGGTGTTTCGAACGGAATCCGCCGGGTAGAGGTAGCGGCAGAAGAGAGCCAACGAAAGAAAGAATGGTCCAAACATTATCGCAAGCAACTTCAATCTCTCACTGTTTTTCACGTGAACGTGAAAGTGGGACAAGGCGGTGATCAGGTAGAAAAGGAGGTACATGGGAACTCTTCGGGGGTTACCCTCTTTTACACTCCCCTTCGGCAGCCTTAACAAGGAAACATGCCCCAGTGCGAAGCGACGGAATGCCCCAAATTTCAGCAGCACTGGCGAGCAATATGTAAAGCCCCCAGCTAGCTCCCAGGAAAGGGACATAGCCACCAAAGGCATAAAGTACATGTGCTGCACAACGTGGACAATCATCTCCCAAAAAAGGTAGGCCCAATAGACATCCACCAGCCACATCGTCGTGCGTGATGGAGCACAGCAGAATGTGAAGTCGTGGATCACCACATTTTCCCCAGTTTTGTCATCCTCTGCAAAAATTGTAACCTCTGGCGATGTGATAGACGTCTTCGGCTCATGATTGACGTCGTTAGGGTGCTCCCTCGCCGGTTCCTGGGTGTTTTTTGTGGCGAGCGTCTTGTACTGCTCCGGGGTCGCGCCAAACACCCACGTGCTCTTCTCCAACTCAAACCACGCTGTGGCGTCAAAACAAATGTTAAAAAACGCAAAGAACCACTCCGACATGGTGGACAAGCTGTATGCTCCAGGGGCACACGTGTTGACGTGACGAACGTAGAAGAAGACGAGAGAAAGGGCACTCACCGTCTGGCCAATGAGGCACACACGCTTCAAGCGGGACGACCAACGAATGTTATCAAATGAAGCGTAGATGTCAAGGTTGTACAGGTTTCGTCGCACCAAGGCATCAATAGTCAGCTGAAGTATGAAGCCAAGGAAGACATAAAAACCAAACCCCAAATTGTGGCGAGCAAGGTTCTCAATTGATGAAACCATAGTCCAAGTTAACGCACAGATGAGACGAAGAATATCGCAGAAAAACATCATCAGTGTCAAAAAGGCTGAAGACCCAAACAGCATTAAAGGAGCGCGCACCAAGTCGCTCAATTCGTTCATGTTCCCACAGCCGTGTTGCCAGAATACCAAAAGCAATGAGATGGTCGCACCAAGGCGAAACGGTGTGCATAGAACAAACGCCACTCGCCAGACCTGCCGCTCTGGCTGAAAGTCTCCCGTGAGAGTGCTTATGCTTGGCCAATACTCCGCCACCTTGCAGTGCGTGTCTAATAACTCTTTGGGGTGCATCCACAGCCCCACAAAGAGGGCGAGCAGCAGACCAGTGCTCGCAATGATGGCATAGATTAACGCCAAGTACGAGGAACGGACAACAAATATGTGCTGTTTCATCTGTAGACTGTGCTACGCCACTCTTCTCTCTATCTCTCCCAATAAGAAATATATATATAT